CGCTGCCATTGGAAGACATTGTGTCCCGACGTGGTGTGCTTCAGTGCTCAGACAATTTTTGGCCATGTGAACTTATTTCTATCATCTTAAAGTTTAAAAAATGGTATCTTGCTTTTGATTTGAAAAAATGATATACAAATCCAATTATTTATCATGAATAGAAGTTTCAAGATAATTTGCGATTGAAAAGGAAGGGATGGGGAGATGGTACCATCGTATGTTTGTGGTATCTATGTAAGGGTTGGTGTAATTATACTGTGACCTTCTTCGGAGAATTGGTGGCTGGCAGGTGCTCTGGTGTGGTTTGCTCTTTATTTCCTGTGAAACATTTATCGTCATGATCTCCCCTCTTCCTTTTTGTGTTTGTTACTCTCTTGTAACACCTCTAATCTTGGGATCTTACATGACCTTATTGTGAGGCAAATGCCGCAAAACTCTTACGAAATCGAAACTTCTCTAGAGAGTAGATTGCTAAGCTTACATTGGTAAGGATTTGTATCTCTCGGATTTTTCCGATAATTTGGATGTTATTATGTCAACCTCCAAATATAGGGCAAGATTTATAACGGTCATAGTATGTTATTGTAGTAACTAATTGATACTGATCAGTATTCAGTAGGATTAATAGTACCGCCTTTGACTCAAATATTTCGTCTCATTCGATGCAGTAGCATACCGTGTGCACAGACCTTAAGGGGGGGTTTTGCCATGTTTCGTGGCATCTCACAAGTTTGTATCTGTGTCTCTAATCTCTGAGAGGCCACACAGGCGTAAGTACAAGTGGCGGAACTAAAACTACAACGTTCTATCTGCCCAGTACCTAAATTTAGAGAGATCTGACGTGAAAAAAAAAATCATACACTTCTCAACATGTCAAGCTTTTTCGAAAGCAATTCTTTGAATATTTTCATAACCGCTCGGAAAAATCTTACGATTTTGATAGAGCATATAAAACATTTTGCTCCTGGCCTCATGGTCTTAGAAACTCAAAACGGCAAAAAAAAAAGTTCGACAGAACTGTGGGATTCTGAGGGAGCTCAAATAGAACGGTGTGAATCAGAGGTAGCGAAGTGTTTCAGAGCACATACAAAAGTACAAGAGAAAGTGTCATGATCTATATGATACAGCCTCCAACAGTCACCAACAACCACCGACTCACTTGTGTTGTGAATCTATTATCAGAATTGGTCACTCTCATGTCTCGAACGTGCAACATGTATACAAATTAATACATGCGTTCAGAGACCAGCGATTTGTTTATTCTTTCCAGGTTTGTCAACTGTTCCTTTTTGAAGAAAAAACAAAACACACCAAAAAAAATTAATTAACCCCCCCAAAAAAACCCAACAACAACAACCAACAACAACAAAAAACAAACAACAGATCAGCGAAACACGCTAGTGGACATCCGGTCTACTGTCACGCCATGGTATAATGAGAGAATAATAAACGAGATTGAAAGGATGAAAAAACGATTGTGATTTTGTTGTTGTTGTTTTGCTTCGGTAAGTGTTTTTCGGCGCTCGCCGCTGCACAAAGTCATAATATGAGCGCACGGGACAATAATTAAACATTTTCAGTTTGGTAGGGATTAATTTAGAATTTTGCCCGGGTGGTGGCCAAAGCCTACTAATCAATTCTGGGACCAACAACGTATCTTTGACGTGCGCAACTCGTGCATGCGGCGTCCGATATATTTTTTTGCCCAAATCCGAGAGGGCTATTTGTTAGATCTTACCGACTGTAACTGTAAGAGCAGGGTATAGTAATTAATGATACTACTACTACTACTACTACTACTACTACTACTACTACTACTACTACTACTGCTGCT